TGATATCAGTCACCGTATTGTCTGGTCCTGACTCGATTATTTACAGACCGCCGCCACATAGGTGATGCGGCCTTAAACAGCAGGCAAAACACCACCCCTCAGAAATATTCCTGCCTATTGATGGTGAGTTTTAATTCCGCTTCAATCAGTGTTTCAGATACTCGAGGTTGTCACCTTATTGAAACCAAGTAGGCAGTTATGGTGCTGATAAAAGAATGGTACTATTTAGGGCTGATATTATTTTCGAACCACCGATCAGCGGATCTTCGCACAACTAGGGGAAACAACTCTTTATAGCAAAATCGTGTAAATGGGGACAAGATATGCCAAAAATGAATTTAACTAACTGGACCAAATGGGAAAATAGACGCGTTTAATGTTTGACGTAACACCACATAATAGACTACCAAATCATCTCGCGTTATGCAAACCTTTCAGCGTTGCACTGATGGCAGACCCGCTATGGTGACTTGACAATCTGTAACAGAAACAGAATCTTAGATATTTCCGTTTGATTATAACAAGCGTCGAAAACCTAAACGTATTCATTGGCTTGTGAAACAGATTTGTTTAGCCAAGTGAGCTTTCGTTGTGTCACGTTGACTGTCGTCCGTCCAGGTGTCCAGTTGTCCACTCCAATTACAAGGAAACTGAAACTATGGGGTCTCTGAAAACTGCAGCGAAAGCCACCATTAAAATATCAATCAGTAACCATTACTCTGTCATATTCGTCGACATGTTGGCACATATGTCGTTTTTCCACTTTCGCAATATTGTGAAATGTTAACTTTAAATAGTTGCTGCCAACAGAGACCATATAATCTATTATATAAGGGAAATTGATGTGGAATACATCGAAGTAGGTACAAAATTGAGAAAGCATATAGTATAGGCACCACCGCACTCGTGGCATATTTTCGTCTAATAGTGACTCATATACATGTAATATAAACAAATGTACAATTGTGATTGCCAAGAACGACTGAGCGAGAAAAGCTAAAACATAGTTTTCGGGGTTATTCACTGAAAACTGTTTATCTATGTCGCTATGATATAATTTGACTTATAAAATTGTGTCTTCATTATTCTGGTGGGAAACCAAAATTTGTGCCTTTTGTAATTATCATAACAAAATACAAAGGACAGTACAATGAGAAACTATACTTAACTAATTCAAATTTCTTTTGTAATTAAGAAACTCTACCTACCTGTTCGGGGCGGTGGGGTACCCTAGTGGTTAAAGCGTTCACTCGTCACGCCGAAGACCCGGGTTCGAATCCCCAAATGGATACATTGTGTGAAGCCCATTTCTATTGTCCCCGCCGTGATATTGCTGCAATATTGCTAAAAGCGGCGTAAAACCTAACTCACTCACACATTCACCTACTTGTTCAGTGTCTCTGCAGCTAATGCTGAAGAGGCTGAAGCCAGCGCGGACATTCCGTATGTTTTCATCACGTAACAAACCTACGGGCGCCTTCTTGTTGAGTCTCTGTCTATGACGTCACTTGCGTGGTGACGTCCGTCATGGCGTATGGAAGCGGAACTTCCGGCGTTGCTGTGGAGATGTTGCTATGTATAGCAGGGACCTTTCTAAAAGAGTGGGGGTGAAAGGGTTGGGCGGAGTTGGGTTTGGTAGGGGAGAGTGTCTAATAACCTATTTTTATGGGAAATAATATCTTGGTTGTCATTATTATATCTCCCTGGTGAAAGGCATCTGTATTATATATCCATTATTCCGTTTTATTCAAAGAAAAGAGATGACATAATATAAGCCTACTTGGTCATCCAGGGTTGTTTAATCCTGAAATCTAGTCCATATTATAACAATGTTCCAGACATTCCAAGGATTGGAACATCAGCTTTTCACAGGTATGAAATCGCCCCAAGACTTCGGTGTGACGAGCAAGCGTTCTAACCACTAGGCTATCCCACCGTTCAACATGACGCCAATATCATATACTTAAAGTCGAAAGTTCATTTAATAAAAAGGCGCTTGTTTTCGTACATACCAGCACATCGGGAAATCTGTATCTTAGCCCTCTTATGGAATCTGACCTTTGAAAATCCGAATAGATAGACAGAAACGATTTCAGCACCCATGCTTGTAAAGACAACTGGTGTACATTCGTAATTTACAGACCGCTGTCATAATGAAATATTGCTGAGTGTTTGGGGTTTTTTAACGTGAGGCAATGTATTTCTTCAGGATAGAGGCCTCCTATCAATGTATAAAATGTCGGTCGTACTCGATGACCCAAGTTTTATGTTCATCTTCCTAATATCAGGATTATCGGATTGGCTTATCGCACCGAGAACAACACCAAATAAAGGGTGGGTGAATGAGATTTGGTTTAACCCCTTCTGCCCACATGCACAAAACGATCTCAGCACTAAGACGGTCCCTACTCTAACAGGGCCTAAGACAGTCGTAGTGCTCAGATCGTTTTGTGCAACTCGGCTCCGGATGTCGAGATAGTTTTTTATTCCTTTTTATTTTATTTTTTATTTGGGTGTTTGTTTTCTTCTTCCTCTTCCTTTTTGTGTGTGTGTTTGGGTTTTCTCTCTCGTTTTTGTAAGTCTGAAACGCGAAAGCTGTGCGAGAATTACGTTACACAGAAACGTTGTAAACTAAATTTCTTGTTCGCGCGAGTAAATGCAAATGCTAATATATGGCGGTTGAAAAAGAAAACTGCTAAGTCTGTGTGTTTGTGTGTGTGCGTGTTTAAAATGCGCGTTGGGCTATCTTTACGGTGTATATAGAGAGATAGCAAATGTAATTCAAGCTGTTACCTACCCACGGGGGACTCGTGATGATCTGGGTCAGAATTGGTCTTCAGTAACCAATGCTTGTCATAAGGGGCTGCTAACCAGGTCGGGTGGTCAGGCTCACTGACTTGGTTGACACATGTCATCGTATCCCAATTGCGTAGATCGGTGCTCATGCTGTTGATCACTAGATTATTTACAGAACGCCACCATATTGCTGTTTTTTTGCTGGGTGCGGCTTTAAACAAGAAACAAACTACCTACAGTGCCCATGACGATCCGATCTTAAAAGCGCTTGTCCTGAGGGGCGATCAAGGGGGTAGATCGATGCTCATGATTTTAATCACTTGATTGTCTGGTCCAGATTACTTGCAGACAACAGTCATACAGCTGGAATATTGCTGACTTAAACAAGAAAACACAACCCACTGTGTTTCTGCTGGCTGACGTTGTGTGATGTAGACGAGCCAAGCATTTTAGAAATGCCAACGAGTCTTCAGATATAGAAATTGGCTCCTATTACCTGGAAGCGTATTGCACCAGATTGATGGGTAGGACGTATGTTCATATCACAGCATAGATCAACACGGCATGGAGGTGTTTAGTAGGTTTTTATTGAAAAGATATATATCAAACTAAATTATAAACAAATTATTTTTTTCAAACCATTTCGCTCCACTGTGAGTTCAACCATTTCATGACATGTAATATACCCTCGAATCTTTTCGAGTCCAAATGGTTCAATTTCCAACACTTTCCAACACAATTCACTTTTCTGCTGACATCACTTGCCAATGGAATCAATTTCCACAAGTATTATTTGTCCATCAGAATCAGTTTTCCATATATGCATCGATTGTTCACACGAATCACTTCTCACAGGCATCATTTGGAAGTATGAATCACTTCCCACAGGCATCATTTGGAAGTATGAATCACTTTCCACAGGCATCACTCGCCCATTGGAATCAGTTTCCACAGGCATCACTCGCCCATTGGAATCACTTTCCACAGGCATCACTCGCCCATTGGAATCACTTTCCACAGGCATCACTCGCCCATTGGAATCACTTTCCAAAGGCATCACTCGCCCATTGGAATCACTTTCCAAAGGCATCACTCGCCGATACAAATCACTTTTTCACAGGCATCGAATGTTCACACGATTTATTGTTCCACAGAGGGCACTTTCCCATTAGAATTACTTCCCACAGGCACCGATTGCTACCACGAATCACTTTTCCACAGGCATCACTAGCCCATAAGAATCACTTTTCAACAGCAATTCACTTGACCATAAGAATCGCTTTTCCACAGGCAGCACTTGCCAATTAGATTCACTTTTCACATTAATCACTTGCCCATGAGCATTTTTCCACAAGCATGACTTCCCCTATAGAGTACCTTTCAACAGGCATTGCCTTCCCATAAGAATATCACTTTTCCACAGGCATCCCTTGCCCAGTAGAATCTCCCCTTTCCAAAATCACTATTACCATACGAATCACTTTCACAGGCATCCCTTGCCCATTAAAATGTTTCCTTTCCCCAGGCATCACACTTTCCACAGGTATCACATGTCCATTAGAGTTTCTTTCAACAAGCAAATTTTCCCACACGAATCACTTTTTCAAATGTATCGATTGCTACCAAGAAACACTTTTCCACAGGCATAATTAGCCCATTAGAATCACTTTCCAAAGGAATCGCTTTCCCGAAGGCATCATATGCCCATTAGAATCACTTTTCCACAGACATCGATTGCTACCATGAATCACTATTTCACAGGCATCGCCTGCCCATAAAAATCACCTTTCCATAGGCACCACTTGCCCAATAGAATCACTTTTCATTAGCCATAAGAATCACTTTTCAAAACGCACCGCTTGCCCAAAAGAATATCACTTTTCCACAAGGATCACTTGCCCACATGAATCACTTTTCAAACGTGCCGTTTCCACACGTGGACCACTTGTCTAAAAGAATCATTTTCATGCACAGACCGCTTCCTGAACCACGGTCTACTGTTTCACATGAATGACTTCCGCATATGGACCACTTTGGACTCTGAGTCACCCACAGGTAACCACTTTTGCACAAGAATCACTTGAATATATCTTCATAATATGACGCATCCATTTCTCCGTTCCGTTGCCAACTCCTCATATTCATCATCACCATCGTAATCCATGTCGTCTGCTGCAATGTCATCAACGCCATCATCTGACGATTCATAGCCGACGCCTACCGGAATATAGCCACCAGGAACACTGTCACGTGACCCATCCCGCCATTTTTGCCAGGCAGGAATGGCGTATGGCTGAATGACCTTCCTCCACAAAAGAAAGGCACCGGCGGTGGTTGCTGAAAAGTTGGAAAGACAAAATAAACCTGATTTGTACATATTATATGTTCCTTTACTTCACTGAAACACTTTGAGTGAGTGAGTTGTGTTTAACACTGCTTTGAACAGTATTCCAGTTATATCACAGACAGCTAAGTGTGTGTGACTACGGTTTTACACCGATTTTAGACAAATTCATTAAAGGCGGGGAACCCCAGAAATTTGATTCGCAGAGTGTATCCATGTGGGAAATCGAACCTGGGTCTTCGGCGTGAGGAGCGAACGTTGGGGAAGTAATAGTCTGTCTCACAGTCCCTGAACCATATTATTTTCCCCAATGCGTAGCCCTCCCTGCAATGCTAAAGCCCTAAATGAAGCAAGTCTAGATTTCCTCAGATTCAGGCCTGAATCTCTGGTCTCACTGGGGCTCCTTTTCAATTTAAATGGGTTTATTTGCTACTATCACAATTACATATATTCAGGGACTCAACGTTAGTCTAGGGAAGTAACGTCACCAATCCTTCTCTCCAGACAATAACTCCCCACGGTATTCCTCCTGCCTGCCTTTGAGTGTAATTTCATTGGACGGCTGTCTATATAGCCTCACGTCATTCGGGTCAAATCTAAGGTAGGAAAGGGTACGCCAAAGACCCCGGTTCGACTCCCTGCGTGGGTTCAGCGTAACCAGACTGTTGCTGATATGCCTGCCATGGCTGTAACACTGTTTATTCAAGCGACATAACACACTTATCAGCCAATGAAGCATGAAAGTGATGTTATAATGGCTGTGTTGATATCGCTTTTCAAATACCAAAGTGTCAATAAATACTCATTTCCACTGGCATTCATTTTAAACGCGTGTTAACCGGGATTTTAACCCCGTGTCGTGTTTCCGACTCGGATTCCGTATTAAAGGAATATTATATATATATATTTTTTACATACATCGTCTTTACACACTGGGAAAATAAAAGGTGAATCATTAAGCAAAATGTAAGAAGTAGTCGGACTTATATATTAATTGGCAATACTTCTAGCTTTGTCCGTTTGAGCTCAGTGTGAGTGAGTGAGTTTAGTTTTACGCCGCACTCAGCAATATTCCAGCTATATGGCAGCGGTCTGTAAATAATCCAGTCTGGACCAGACAATCCAGTGATCAACCCTTTGCGCTCAGACGGAACCCAATCGCAAAAATGGCAACGAGATGGTCACGAGTCGCTATTCGGCTTGTTCTGGAATAACACGACTTCGTCACGAATGTTCTTGCAGGTTACGGAAAGGGGCGAGTGCTGGCGAATGATCGATCCTACCTGCTCCCGCAACCAAGGTGCCGCCGATAAGTTTAGAGTTGTCATGAAGGTTTGATCCTAAGTCTGAAAACAAATCACAGAAACATAATCGAATCAGCTGTTACCATAGGATGCAGGGGTAGAATAACGATCAAAGGGAATCTTCAAATATTGAATCTGTTTACCAAGTACCGTTTGTGGTGAGTGTACCAACCTGTCTCAACAAACACCGAGTGAGTGAGTGAGTGAGTTCTCAACAGACACCGAATCCTGGGTACCCAAAGGGGTTTGACAGAGGTAATAAAATCAACAATACTGAGAATAAGTATAATGATAGCGGTTTCATCTGTAACACTATAACCTGCGAGGTAGTTGTAGTAGGTAGATATACTGAGTGTGGCGTAAAACTAAACTCACTCACTCACGCATAATGTGGATAATACCATTATTAGTGAAGTTGTTTTATAAGAGATCTATTAATTATGTTGATCAGTGATTTGTCTGGTCTTGAATCGTTATTTACAGACCCAACATAGCTGTAATATTGCTGAGTGCGGTTGATAACATAAATCTTTGAACACAATATATATTTTAGGACACAAGATAAAAATCGACTTCCAACCTGAAAATGTTTTGATTTTGATGAGATTACCTATTGTGTTCAAACAATCGCCAAAAACGCAGAAGTGTTGATCGCCACAATTGCACAAGTAAAAATCACTTTACCTGAAAATGTTTATTGAAATTGTGCATTAAAAAGTATCGCCACAACGCAAAAAAATCACCCTCCATTTGAATTTGTTCAGCAAAGGGCATGCGCTGTCTGGCTATAAAAATCCAGATTACTTTCGGAAATCGGCATTCGTTTTGAAGGAGTTTCAAGGTCAAATCACTACGCCACGTCTTGACACTGCGACACGGAACATCGCCATTGAAAGAATGAACGCTGGAGATTACCAATCTTCTGTTGCCAGGCGTCTGAATGTTAGTCTGTGCACGATATCACGGCTTGCAGCTCGTTACAACCAAACAGGTATAACAAATGACCGAACCCGTACAGGCACACCTCGAGTCACCACTGTAGCCCAAGATCGGTACATCCGGGTACTACATTTGCGTGATCGTACTGCCACGGGTGAGAGCACAGCAGCCAGAGTGCCTGGACTTCGGAGGATATCTGGTCAAACTGTACAGAACAGGTTCAGAGAGATTGGACTTAGAGCCAGGATACCCGACGTCGGGACCGTGCTACGTCGTCACCATCGCGCTCAACGTCTCCATTATCTAAAATTATCCACTTGGTTGTATAGACATTTCCTTTTTCTAAACTGATGTTAAAAGTCATGTACTAAGGCCTATTTGTGGACTGGTTATACATGTTTGAAAATACAACCTTTTCGCAACAGATTTCTGGCATATGCATTTCATTTTGGGGTTAGTATATGAAATGTTGGTCTATCTCCGTGACCCAGTTTACATCTTCATCGTCCTGATACTGGGATTATCCGATTGTTCTTGTCGAGGACAATACCCAATATATGGGTGGGTGAATGAGTTGGGGGTTTAATCCCTTGGCCCACATGCACAAAACGATCTTAACGGACTTAAGACAGTCCTGGTGCTCGTTTCATCGTTTAGGTTTTTTGGTTCTTTTTATTTGTTATACTTTGTCTTTATTTCTGTGTTTGTTTTGTTCTGCTACTGAAAATGTCTAAGCTTAACAAATCTCATAATAATAAAGACTACCAAATCATCTCGCGTTATGCAAACCTTTCAACGTTGCACTGATGGCAGACCCGCAATGGTGACTTGACAATCTGTAACAGAAACAAAACCTTAAATTGTAAAACACAAAGGCATTCACATGAAACAGGTCTTTTCAGATCAGACTGAAAGTCAAGTGAGCTTCTGTTGTGTCACTTTGACTGTCGCCCGTCCAGTTGTCCGCTTGTCCGCTGCAATTACAAGGAACATTGCTATGGGGTTCCTAAAAATTGCCGCGGCAGCCAGTTTTAAAATATCATTTAATGACAATTACACTGTCATATTTGTCGACATTTGATACGTCTTTGGAAGTGGAGCGTAGAATATATCTTCCATTTTCGCAAACTTACTAAATTCGGACTTGATATTATTTTACAGTAAAATAGTTTGTGCTAACAAAGTTAAATTGCTATAGAATACATCGACGAAGGTGCAAAATTGAGAAAACATATAGTATAGGAAACACCGCACTCTAGGCATGTTTGAACCTAATAATATTAACTTATATGATTTTAAACAATTTGTCAAATGTTAATGTAAAGATAACTGGGTATGGAAGGCTAAAATTTTGTATGAAAGAAATTATTAACTGAAAACTCTTTATCTATGTCGCTATGATGTGATCTGATTCATAGAATTGTGTCTTCATTATTCTGTGAGCTACAAATACCTTGGACTTTTTGTAATTTATCATAACCAAACACAAAGTGCAGTACAATGAGAAACTATTATACAATTAAGAAACTTTAGCTACTTATTCGGGGCGGTGTGACAGCCAAGTGGTTAAACCGTTCACTCGTCACGTCGAAGGTCCGAGTTTGATTCCCCAAATGGGTATACTATGTGTGAAGCCCATTTCTATTGTCCCCCGCCGTGCTATGGCTGCAATATTGCTGAAAGCGGCGTACAGCCCAACTCACTCACAGATTCACCTACCTGTTCAGTGTCTGTGCAGCTAATGCTGAAGCAGATGAAGCCAACGCGGACATTCCGTACGTTTTCATCACGAGGCAAAACTAAGTACGAGCGCCTTCTCGGAGAGTCTCTGTTTATGACGTCACTTGCGTGGTGACGTCCCTCATAGCATATGGAAGCGGAACTTCCGGTGTCGCCATGGAGATGCCGATTGGGTATATTTCTATATATAGCATGGATGATTCTAAAAGATTGGAGTGGATGGGATTGAGCGGGAAATGGTTCATAACGTATTTTGGGGGGGTAAGATTTTAGTTTTCAGTACTATTATGTTCCTGGCCAAAAGTCTTCATTATGTCCATTATTCTGTTTTATTCAGACAAATGGTGACATACTATAGGCGTACTTGGCAATCGAGAATCGTTTAATTGTGGAAGCACTTCCTGAAATCAAGATTAGTCATCTTTTTCTGCAATTTCTAGGTTAAAAATGTATGCAAATCAACGCCAAGAGTAGTTTAATATCAAAACGACCATAATGATTGAGTGACACCGCTCTGACTGACTGACTGAGTTTGGTTTTACGCCGCTTTTAGCAATATTCCAGCAACATCACGGCGGGGGACACCAGAAATGGGCTTCACACATTGTACCCATGTGGGGATTCGAACCCGGGTCTTCGCCGTGACGAGCCAACGCGCTAACCACTAGGCTACCCCACCGCCCCACACCGCTCTAAACAGCATACCATTTACATCGTGGCGGTAGTCTAGTGGGTAAAGCGTTCGCTCGTCACGCCGAAGGCCCGTGTTTGATTCCCCACATAGGTACACACAATGTGTGAAGCCCATTTCTGGTGTCCCCTGCCTTGATATTGCTGCACTATTGCTAAAAGCGGCGTAAAACCAAACTCATTCAGTCATTCGCCGACCTGTTCAAGGTCTGTGCAGCAAATGCTGAAGCGGCTGAAGCCAGCTCACTCACTCACCATTTACATCACGTCGTGTCTGCCGAATGTGGGAGAAAAACCCGAAGTAACGCAGGTCTCAGACGTTTACCATTTTGGTGAAATATTAAATCATAAATTTCACATTATTTCATTATAATTGCTAAGCATGTATTTTATATAAAGAAACACATGTAACAACAAAATCCATATGTTCGGCATTAACTTTGAACGCGATTATAAACTTTACAGACGAGTGTTTTTACGATTGAAGTATTAACTTACACATTTTGATAACCGTTAGTGTTAGAATCGGTTAAAACCCGTGTTCTAATTAAGTTGCATAAGTAACGCAAAAAGTAGTGTGTACACATTCTTTGCTTGTGTTTTAAATAATAACTCAAAAACAGTCACTGGTTATTCGGGTGTCTGAGAATTGTGAACTACAAAGCCAAATTGACTCTCTTCTTCAACACTGAGAATTGTAATACACACTGCGTGGTGGCATTAAGGCATGGTTCTTGTTAAAACGTGCTTTCCAATATCCAATGTTTACCGAAACAATTGTACGTAGGACTTCGACGATTATTGCGATGAAGCATCACTCATGGTAAATTCCAGACATGTTGTCAATTTGGTTTAACGCCACAATCAGTTATTACCTGTAATTAATTTGGTCCAGACAATCCAGTGATTAATATCATGAGCAACGATCAACATCTGCGTCTAACTCGCGATCACAGTATTTCTAAGTTAGTCATTCGGAAACACTTCTTAATTCTGATGTAATGATTTCGTTTATTTCAGAGATAATAATAATAATGAGTATTATAAAGCGCTGTATCCATCCACATGGTGCATGCTCAAAGCGCATAAAATGAGAGAAAAGATACAGGTAGTGAAATAATAGTATGAAATATAACTTATGAATGATAGCCTGAAATAAAGCTTATGAATAATAGCAGGAGAAAATGTTTATGAGTTAAAGTTCATGAATGATAGGGTGGAATAAAGTCTATGAATAATAGCCTGAAAATAGTTGCGTCTTGAGTTTTGATTTGAATACAGTTAATGATGATGAAAGCTGGTAAGATTATACTTTGGTATGTTCAGAAGATTCAGATTTTGAGATCGAAGAGTCTTTATAGGGATGTAGTCTACTAGCATATTAGAAAGATATGGTGGTGCCATATCATTTTGACATTTGTACACCATACACAGAATTTTAAAGTTGATTCTTGCTTCAATGGGAATAACCGTTTAGTGCATTTATATCAAAATCGATATTTCTATTGATATTTGTGCTCCGTTTACATCCTCCTTCCGATCTCATTCACGCACTGATCAGCAAAACGTAAAACGTTTCATATTTTAGTGGTATTCTAAAGAAGTTGGTTTTATCGATTGTCTCCCTTTTGGGCAGACAACTCTCATTGTCTGTTGCAACATTTGTTGATTAATCATGGAAATGGACGAGACACTCATATTTCAATCAGTTGTTTGTTTCCTGTGGCTTGTTTACCTCTGGGAAACATATCTTTCATCTCGCCAGGTAAAATACAACCTGCACTCTGTTGTTTTTTAAATGAATTCTGTTAGCACAGCGAAACGATAGACATGCCGGGTTTTTACGTGCGTGTTTGGCTTTTACAGGCGCTTCTTTGTGTCTTTACAAAGGATTGAAAATATTTATCGGCATGATCAGTGTCGTGTTTATTTGACAAAAAAATTAAATCAGTTCACGCGTAAATTAGGTTTTGGCAAGTATTCAACTTTGAATATGGCATCTGATCGCATGATCACAAAATCATCGGTTGATTAAAAGTGTTGGTTAGCTATTTCCTGTTTCGTCGTATGTTCAGTTTCACGAATTCTCGATCCTCGTGCTCTGACTGTCAGGTTATTAAATGCTTTTTTCTTTGTATATGACTCTTCATGCATTAGTGATTTGTGAAAGTAGCCATGGCACCTAAAATTTAAATGTCTTCCTGATTATGTTATGAGCCTAAGCCAGTGTTGGGTGTTTTTTTTTATTAAAAAAATAACATGCTTAGAAATATCCTTCTTCTAGTACAGGGACCTACACGTCGATGGTCTGGACCAAACTTGTTTATTTACAGACTACCACCATATAGCAGGAATATTGCTGAGTGCAGCGTTAAACTATAAGCAAACCAAATCTTTGGAAGTCAACATCCGTTGTGGTCTAGTTGATACAGGCATTTACCATTGATCCAAGGAGAAGTGCCCCTGACCAGTAGGGCTGTTATGATTCACTCTCATAATCGATGAATCGAACAGTATCCATCATGAATTCAATTAGTTTTTCGCGAACACTAAAATCAAATGTCCATGATTTTTGTTCTGTAAAGGAGTGTTTTTACTTGACTTTGAATGGTTATTTATCAAAACAAGATATTATATGCCAAATGGAATATATCCACACCAGACAGGATAACAGTCAACACTATTATATATATTTTAACAGCAGTGTGGTCACTGGTCATTGTCATGATAAATTAACACTGTCAACATGGTCAAATCATTGTTTCACTGAATATACTGTATAATGCATCAACTGCTGGCTTGTTATCCCCCCGGCATGTAAGATATATCAAACAGAGCCTAAAGTGGTGCCTAATGCTATTTACAGATTTATGTGATTTCGTATTTTCTCGTTTTCCATGGAAATGATTCGGTCTCAAGAGGGAGGGGTGGGCTTTGTTTCCGGAGCACAACTTGAAAACCATTCAATATCTTTCAACCGAACTTGGCAGATATATGAGACAGATCTTGAAGTGGTGCCTTTTGCTATTTACAGATATTTGTCAGTTGTTTTTTTCCCGGTTTCCATGGAAATGATTTGGACTTAGTCTTAGAGGGAGTGGAGGGCTTCGTTTCCAGAGCATAACTCGAAAACCGTTCAATATTTTTCTGCAAAACTTGGTAGATCTATCAAACAGAACCTAAATTGGTGCCTTTTGCTACTTACAGATTTTTGTGATTTCGTATTTTCTCGTTTTCCATGGAAACGATTTGGACTTAGTCCCAAAAGGGAGGGGTGATTTTCCATGGAAACGATTTGGACTTAGTCCCAAAAGGGAGGGGTGAGTTTCGTTTTCCGGAGCACAACGCGAAAACTTCTTAATATCTTTCAGCAAAACTTGGCGGATATGTTAGGCAGATCCCAAAGTGGTGCCTTTTGCTATTGCAGATTTTTGACATTTTTATTTTTCTCGGTTTTCATGGAAACTATTCGGACTTAGTCTCAAGAGGGAGGGGTGGGCTTCATTTCTGGAGCACAACTCGAAAACCATTCAGTATCTTTCAACATAACTTGGCAGATATATGAGACAGATCTTGAAGTGGTGCCTTTTGACATTTTTATTTTTCCCGGTTTCCATGGAAACAATTCAGACTTAATCTAAAAAAATCAAGCTGGACTTTAAGTAACTGTCTGATGATTTGTTCTTTCAAATATGTGGGGGCCGGGGGGATATGTCATCTTCTGATGACTCTTGTTTTTGTATTTGTTAACCATAAATTATATTCTTTACCCCCTATTCATGATATGTATTGATATTCGTCTCATAGTGGATTCGTTGCAGCCCAGGAAACAACATGTTGTTATGTTATTTTCAGAGAAATGTCTACAAGACAGCCAAGAAGGTGCCAAGTGCCCTGGAAGATGTGCTCGACGTCGAGACATTTGAGAAAGCTCGGTTGTATCAAGTGGACAAGAGTAACTTCAGCTTCTATCATGACTTGTACTCTCAGATTGAATCAACGGTAAGTGTAGAGTCCTCAGTCATTGTGTACATGACAGTGTCCAGACTCAAGCTTCTCATACCTCTGTGTCAGAGTGTAATCTTGTAAAAATAATGAAAAATGTTTTCTTGACATTTTTCAACTCAGAAATATAAGGATATTATATGCAAACAATGAGTGACATTACAGTTTTCAAAATAGTGTTTGAATATGCTTTTACATCTCTTCAGCAACAACCCAGCTATAAGTTATGCTAAACACCATACGAATGGGCCTCACATTGTATCCATGAGGGTAAACAAACTCAGGTTGTAAGTTTGACAAGCAAGTGCTTTAACCACTAGGCTACACCTACCCTTTCACAGTAGATATTTCACTTATGTTTATGCAATGGTGTCTTTCTTGTAGTTGATCCTAGTGTTTGGGGGGATGCCCTTTGTGTGGTCTGTGGCTGGAGGGATGATCGCCAGACATGGATATGGACCAGACTACGAGGTAAGATGACTCACTAATGAGTTTCTGATAAGTCAAATGATCCTGTGTAATCTCTAGTGCAGATGTATTTCAGATCCTGCAGTCAGTGGTGTTTACCATCCTGTGTATTTCAGATCCTACATTCTCTTCACCATCCTATGTATTTCAGATCCTATAGTCTGTTCACCATCCTATGTATTTCAGATCCTACATTCTCTTCACCATCCTATGTATTTCAGATCCTACAGTCTGTTCACCATCCTATGTATTTCAGATCCTACAGTCAGTGGTGTTCTCCATCCTATGTATTTCAGATCCTACAGTCAGTGGTGTTCTCCATCCTATGTATTTCAGATCCTACAGTCAGTGGTGTTCTCCATCCTATGTATTTCAGATCCTACAGTCAGTGGTGTTCTCCATCCTATGTATTTCAGATCCTACAGTCAGTGGTGTTCCCCATCCTGTGTATTTCAGACCATACAATCTGTTCACCATCCTATGTATTTCTATTTCAGATCCTACAGTCTGTTCACCATCCTGTGTATTTCAGATCCTACAGTCTGTTCACCATCCTGTGTATTTCAGATCCTACAGTCAGTGGTGTTCACCATCCTATGTATTTCAGATCCTACAGTCTGTTCACCATCCTGTGTATTTCAGATCCTACAGTCAGTGGTGTTCACCATCCTATGTATTTCAGATCCTACAGTCTGTTCACCATCCTGTGTATTTCAGATCCTACAGTCAGTGGTGTTCACCATCCTGTGTATTTCAGATCCTACAGTCTGTTCACCATCCTGTGTATTTCAGATCCTACAGTCAGTGGTGTTCCCCATCCTGTGTATTTCAGATCGTACAGTCTGTTCACCATCCTATGTATTTTAGATCCTACAGTCAGTGGTGTTCCTCATCCTGTGTATTTGAGATCGTACAGTCTGTTCACCATCCTGTGTATTTCAGATCGTACAGTCTGTTCACCATCCTGTGTATTTCAGATCCTACAGTCTGTCCACCATCCTGTGTATTTCACATCCTACAGTCTGTTCTCCATCCTGTGTAGTTCAGATCCTACAGTCAGTTCACCATCCTATGTATTTCATATCCTACAGTCAGTGGTGTTCCCCATCCTATGTATTTCAGATCCTACAGTCTGTTCACCATCCTATGTATTTCAGATCCTACAGTCAGTGGTGTTCACCATCATTTGGATGCTGTACTCGACCTTCACCTCTCTACCATGGAGTTTGTACAGTACATTCGTTATTGAAGAAAAGCATGGCTTCAACAAACAGGTAAGACATTCAATCAGTGATCGCCAGCGCTGCAGGTTATGTGTGAAATCTATATAATCCACATGCCACGCATCTCCCTTCATGGCCTCATTCTAAAACCAGGCTTAGGCAATAATGTTCATGTTGTTTTACAGAATTTTGTTTTGTTCATAAGATATCAGTTGTCTGAAGTGTCTTCAAGTGAACAAATCTCATTTAACTATTTGAATTTCCTGAATTAGTGTCCCCTCAGTTGTACTTGTGTGGCATGACAGTTGCCATGACCCAGAGGTGACATGTCAGAGGGAGGTAACTCTTATTGGTCTGCACTTTTCAAATTCATTGCTATGTATTTTGTTGTTTACAGATTCCTCTTTTGAACACAATCTAACTGTGCATTCTTTTTTATATGTATAATTTTAATACCATGAGAGTCTGTACATAAAGATATCACAGAATGCTTTTGATCCTAAGTTCATTTTGCCTTTTTCGTGGCTTAACATTTGAACTAACATATACCCAAAATTAGACATATTTCAGTCTTTTTGTCTTCTGTTTCAGACAGTAGGTTTCTTCTTCAAAGATCAGGCCAAGAAGTTTGTGGTGATGCAATTGATAACACTGCCCATCACTGCCTCACTCGTCTACATCATCAAGGCCGCCGGAGACTACTTCTTCATCTATGCCTGGCTGTTCACACTCATTGTCTCACTGGTCAGTTAGTGATATTAATAATATTTTTAAATCTGTATCATCGTTCATATTAGGCAGCCCTACCAAAGAAAACTTTCCTACTGTGCAGAAAAACGCAGAAAAGCCCACATTAATCGTGGAAATAGCAACATAAACATAATACCTAGCTACTGAAACAGTGAAAACGGCAACTTTAAATCGCTAAAACTGCATAAAAAAACGAAGAGCCTGCAACTCCGATGTTGCACATGCGCACATGGAAGAGAAAGTCTCGATTGCATGTTGACATTTTCCAGCTTGGACAAAAGTTACATTCCCTTTTTAAGTATTTCTGTTGTGGTATTTGGCATTTATCATCATGACACTTGTGTGCACACTTGTTTAGTTTACTTTCCATTCGTATGAAATGACTGACAGCAATTATTTCGACATATTTAATACTTTTTCTACGCGAGGTGATTCACGGTTGCTGGGAAATTGAAAAGGAGCACTGATCGTAATGTGCATGTGCAGTAGAGGTCAAAGTTCACTGATATAAAAATGTTGCAGTTTCATAGTTTTTCATTTGCCATTTTTACTGTTTCAGTAGCGAGGTAATGTGTTTATGTTGCTATTTCCACGATTAATGTGGGCTTTTCTGCGTTTTTCTGCACAGTGGGAAAGTTTTCTTTGGTAGGCCTGTTAGGGTTCACTTTCTGTTTAGAAATTCTGTCATCCTGCACAGATTACAAATGTTTCTGTCACTGAAAGACTGGAAGATATAATCTCAAATTGTACTCAATGGTTGGTTTGTCAGAGCAGAAGACCCTCTCTCTTGAAACTGTTAAACAGTACTAAAGCTTACCTTGCTGTACACTGTCTTCAGTACAACTGCTTGGTTTATATGACGTCGTATCTCAGTTGTGTAGATCGATGCTCATGCTGTTGATCACTGGATTGTCTGGTCCTGATTCAATTACATTTACAGACCACCGCCATGTAGCAGGAATATTGCTGAGTGTTGTGTTATACAACAAACCAACCAAACAAATCAACAGAACTGGGAATGTCCTGAGTTGCCTCCCTTTCCTTGGTGAAAAGCATGTTCATGTGATGTCAGACTTTTAAATGAAGATCTGTACTAAACTCTTATACAGAAATTGGGATGTGTATTGGCAAAGATCAGAATTGCAATACTAGGAATTTAAGTGTTCAACAGTGAGTGACTCTGATGATACATGCAGATCCTGAATATCTTTGCCATCATTTTGTAGTTGGGGGGAACAGGGGAGAAACTAATTTGAGACAAAAATCACTTCTATGTCAACACCAGTCGTCAGTCAAATTTGAATGGAAACATCTTTTGCAAATGAATTTCTCTGTAGATTTTTGGTTAAACGCTACTGAAAATAATGAAACGTGGCATATCTTTTAACCAATTTATCGGATATATTGCAACATGTTGCCGAGCAGGGTTATTCAGGAAAGTCATGGTGATTACTTGTTTCAAGTGTATTAGTAAGACAAATTTGGAGTTAGAGATGGAGACTGTGACGTCACTTGTGATACAAATGTATGTTGGCACAAGGGTCCATGTTGATAATAATAATGTGTCCATTTATATAGCGCCAAACTACACACTAGGTATGCTCATAGAGCTAACAATCAAGGCACAGCACATTATTACCCCGGATAACCCAAGCTGCCTGTTAGGCGCTAGAAGGTTATAGTCATATGACTTTTTACCACCGGGTACCCATTTTCCTGCTGGGTGAACAGAGACAATTTTGAACAAACTCACTTGCCTAAGGTGAGACAACATGTGTCACATGTCCTTCGTTGTGGGGCAGGACTCAAGTCCTAGAAACTCTCAGGAGTCAAGCTGCCAAACACAGTCACCCATCCAAGGACTCTCCGAGCTCGACGCTGCTTAACTTCACCGATTTGTGACCTGAGCTTTGAGCACAGGACCCCGCGCCACCACATAGAGAATGTGAAAAAGGGTCATGTCCCAGATCTGAAAATTGTAGCGATACTATTGACCAGGTCTTGGAGTGAGTGGGTTAATATTTTACACCCCTCGGCAATAATAGATCTTGGAGTCATCTCGCAGATGACATATTCACTGTATCATCTTGGTGATGTGTGAAAACGTCTTGGTCAGGTGGACAAGGCATGGTCTAATGGTTTTGAATGTTGTGTTTCAGATGCTGATCACGATCTATGCTGATTACATTGCGCCACTGTTTGACAAGTTTACTCCCCTACCCGATGGACCACTACGGAATCACATCGAAAAATTGGCTGACAGTATTGCCTTCCCTCTCAAGAAGCTCTATGTTGTTGAAGGTATGTCTATATGTTGTTGGACCCATGAAGATCTGGGAAAGAATTGGTCTTCAGAAACCCATGCTTGTCGTAAGAGGCAACTAACGGGATCGGGTGGTCAGACTTGCTGACTTGGTTGACACATGTCATCGTATCCCAATTGCGTAGATTGATGCTCATGCTGTTGACCACTGGATTGTCTGGTCCAGACGTGATTATTTACAGACCGCCGCCATGTAGCTGGAATATTGCTGAGTGCGGCGTAAAACTACTCTCACTCACACACTCACTCACTTATGACATATTTAAAGTTTATTGGCAGTGTCTGACTTTGATTATATGGATGCAACACTCATATTGCTGAGTGTGGCGTTAAAAAAACAACAACCAACACTATGTTGTTGAAGATATGTCTCTGTTATGCGACATATCTCTCTGTTGTGAGGTATATCACTATGTTGTTGAAGATATGTCTCTGTTATGCGACATATCTCTCTGTTGTGAGGTATATCACTATGTTGTTGAAGATATGTCTCTGTTATGAGACATATCTCTATGTTGTGAGGTATATCACTATGTTGTTGGAGGTATGTCTGTTATGAGACATATCTCTATGTTGTGAGGTATATCACTATGTTGTTGAAGGTATGTCTCTGTTATGCGACATATCTCTCTGTTGTGAGGTATATCACTATGTTGTTGAAGATATGTCTCTGTTATGAGACATATCTCTATGTTGTGAGGTATATCACTATGTTGTTGGAGGTATGTCTCTGTTATGAGACATATCTCTATGTTGTGAGGTATATCACTATGTTGTTGAAGGTATGGTTCTGAAGGCAGCACATACAAATGAGGACATCAGTTTTTTATGCAGAAATATTCTTTGTAAATGTTTTCACATTGGCTTGAAAATACCCAGAACACAGGGGAATACATTACATTGACAAGGCAAAGAAAACTAAAATATAAATACTAATTTTACATGTAAGTAAATACTTGAAGATAAAATTTTATAATGAACTGTCCGTGTAATCTTGTAGGCTCCAAGCGTTCCTCTCACAGTAATGCCTACTTCTACGGGTTCTTCAAGAACAAGCGTATTGTGTTGTTCGACACCCTCCTGGAAGGTTACAAGTCTGAGGAAGAGAGGAAGAAGGAGGAAGAGAAGAAGCAGGAGGAAGAGAGGAAGAAGGAGGAAGAGGCAGCCGCAGGGGATGCTGAGGTGAGAGGATAACTTGAGGAGGAAGCATCTATGTTTTTCAGCAATGTTTTGTGTACCTGGATAGTGTTATTTATTAAGCTTAGGATAAATTTGTCGAATTCTGATTAGTCAATAGCCAAAGCATACCAAACCATGTAGGCGGATTTGCCAGGGTGTACAAACGGCTGATCACTTGGAAATTTTAGAGTTGGCGTATACAATAATGAGTATAAACAAAAAAATAAATAAAAAATATAAATGTTTCTGTATTTCACTTGTCGTTTACCAAAACCTAAAATTCGATATTTTTTTATCATAAACTTAACCATCCCAAGTTATCTCCCTTTATAACCATTCAGGAAAAATCATGGCGAAATGTTTTGCGTCTCATTCTGCTGATGATTGAATGTTGATGTTTAAGATAACCTAAATAAAAGGATCTTAAGGGTAATAAATTCTTGATAGTACCTTGTATTTACATGTATACATCCTGTGTTGCCAGACCAAGGAGGAATCGGCGGAAGAGGAGGAGAAGAAAGAAGAGGAGACAGAGAAGAAGGAGAAGAGGAAGCAGGGCTGTAATGATGAGGAAGTGTTGGCCGTCCTGTCTCATGAGCTGGGCCACTGGAAACTCAGCCATAACCTGAAAAATCTCCTCATATCACAGGTAGGTGATAGATGTGTTCAGTTTCCCGAGTCCGATGGACAGAGTGAAGTACATCACTATAGAACTGATTATACACTCCACATAACCATGTTCAATTAGTGGTTTCATTTCTGATTATGTATGCAGTAGTATAATAGCATATTTGTACTATATCCATGCTTAATCATGCTTAAAGCTATCTTCTCGCAATCTTGCTGACCATGAAATATGGTATGAAATTAAAATAACCAGTCATGTTTTAGCCATGTTGACATAGTATAAATTGTATGAATAATATTATAAGATATTATGTTGGACGAAAACAAAAATTATAATCTTGAACCTCAAACATTCATGTGTCTGTCATGTTGTAATACAGCGTTTAAAATTACGACCTGCCCGACCATCCGAGCGGTCTATTTTCATCTCAGACTGTCAAATTTCAAAAGTAGCCTGTCCGGTGGTCTGTGTAATATCCTGTGAGAAACATTGTTTAAACCCATTCTGGTCCCATTACTGAAGTGCCAGCATCACTCTGTCTATGGTTGCCATGGTTACAGGTGAACATGTTCCTGTGCTTCATGGTGTTTGCCATGCTGATCAACCGAAAGGACCTGTTCATAGCGTTCGGCTTCAACACGCAACCAAAGCTCATCGGACTGTTCATCATCTTCCAGTTCATCTTCTCTCCTTATAATGAGGTAATACACTTGTGTTATAATGAGGTCTGTAATATGTTAGTCCTGGTATCTCTGGCGAAATGAACAAGGTCAGCTGGAATATTGAATCACAAGTTTGTTAGGGTGGGTTAAATCAAGTTTATCAGTTCAGTGAAATCCACAAGAGTGTCATCATCCGTGCCAACCTGGGATTCTGATCCTGGCACAGCCAAGAAGTACAACTTAGTGAAATTGCAGCACCTTAGAAAATGCAATACTGGGTATTCTAAACAAAAGTATGCATTTTCAGTTGTTAGTTTTCAGTTTACAGTGATTGTATTGTAAACAGTGCAGTAAGACCAACCAAACGACCATATACAATAAATCATGAAGTTAATGCATCACCAAATTAATGTAAGTGTAATTGTTATGTGCCAAGATGTTAATGCAAGTAGCTCTACCTAATAAAATAACAACCACACCTAAACTTATGAAGTACAATTCTATGAAAATGATACGGAATGTTTGTCTGACTGAGTTTGGTTTTACGCCGTTTTTAGCAATATTCCAGCAACATCACGGCGGGGACCACCAGAAATTGGCTTCACACATTGTGCCCATGTGGGGATTCGAACCCGGGTCTTCGGCATGACAAGCCAACGCTTTAACCATTAGGCTACCCCACCGCCCATATGGCATGTTTGTAGTTCGATTGAAGGAAAAAATTTTTTTTAACAAACTATTTTTTTTTCACTACAAATGTACTCTTAAGATAAAACGTTCTGTCAGTTCATCAATGCCAGCAAGGGCCTCAATCATTTTTCTGATTTAATTTCCAGTAGCCTGGTACTTAGACTATAGTTTCAGAAAGTTACCTGACCCGTGAAGATCCGGGTTAGAACTGGTCTTGATCAGCAACCCATGCTTGTCGTAAGAGGCAACTTATCGGGTGATCGGGTGGTCAGGCCTGGTAACTTGGTTGACGCATGGCATTGTATTCCAATTACATAGATGGATGCTCATGCTGTTGATTACTGGAGTACAGACCACCACCATATAGCTCAAATATTGCTGAGTGCGGCGTTAAACAAAAAAAAGCAACCAAACCAATCAGAAAGTTGCCTGATTCACAACCGTCAGTCAGATTCGAATCCTCCCACTAAAGCTTATCAATCAATTTGATTTACTCTCAAGTTTTCTAAAGGAGGCTTTCTGTATGTTATTGTTAATTTAAAGAACTACACATGCTTCATATGAATCAGGGTCCATCGTAAGTAAATGTACGTTGGTGCCATGAACAGCTGGTTCAGAAAGATATATTACGGAAACACCCACTGTCTCTTCTTGGGAACAAAAAGCTGATGTTTTGTGAGGTGTTTGGATGTTAGGCATAAGAAAATAGTATTTAAAGATTACTTTTAAGTATTTCATTCACAAATCCTTTTTTCCACATCCTAATGTAAATATAACACTTTAGTTGTCTCCATTTTGTTGTCATGGATACAGGGGGAGATAACAACGTCAAAGAAAAATCACATTCCATCTGACCAACACATTAATATGTACTTGTTATGTTCCAGATTTTATCGTTCCTTATGACAATGCTGAGCAGAACATTCGAGTTCCAAGCAGATGCATTCGCAAAAACCCTACACCGAGCCACAGCCCTCAAGTCAGCCCTCGTCAAGCTCAATAAAGACAATCTTGGTTTCCCGGTTTCTGATTGGCTGTTCTCAACATGGCACTACTCTCATCCTCCATTGCTGGAGAGGTTGAAGGCCTTGGATGCTAAAAGCAAATCTGACTGATCAGAGACTATCGTTCCTGTTGAAGTGTGAAAGCTATGTTCATCCTCTCTGGAGACTGTGTGTTCAGATAGCCTTGAAATTTTGGTATTTAAAACATAATCATCAAAAAGTTTTAAATGTTTTTCTTTATTATGAGGTTCATCAGAAATGTGTTTTGTGAAAACAATTGCTAATGGTCAAGTAAGTAGTCTTGTTTCACTCTAATAATTTGTAAAAAAATATTAGCTCTTTTACTATTCGTATCATAATTTAGGAGGAAGAGTTATCTTTCTTTGCCAAAGCTACGATTTCTACAAAGTTTGAAATTATAAAGAAATCCTTATGCATAGTCATTTTAGAATTTAATGGTTATTACTCATCTATAAATTTTGGCAGTTTAAAAACCTTTTAGAAGTTATAGAAAAAATGTAGATCACGTGTATAAATACCCTTATTTTCAAGTCCAGGCAAATGGAACATGTTTTGAGAGCAGTGCTTCTAGTCTCTTGCAACCGTTTCATTTAACGTGGTGTAAAAAATGTCACAGTAATCTATGGAATATATGAGAGGCATAAGTGTCATTTTCTGCTTTTGTTTTGTCAAAACTAGTTGTTACTGTGTTATTGTGTTTTGTCATGCTTTGAATTTGTGGCTATTTTTGTTAAATTATCAACAAACACAAAATGGATTTGGCATTTAGATTGACATTATTGTTTGATCTCATTGTGGGAAAAAGACATTAACTTTTACTGCATATCACAGTATAACCTATTCAGATTTCTGACGCTCTATCCAAATTTCAGTTTCCTATTTGTGTATGGTGAGCTAATTGCAATGTCAACCACACTTCTTGTTTCATGAAAAGCAAAGTTTAGCAGGGAGGATCAAAATCAAAATTAATATGTTCCTCATCCATCAAAGACAAAGATGTGGTTAATGATAACAAATTTTAACTATTTCCATCCTTTTCTATTTTACTGGCTTTTTGATCCAGTTGAATAAAAAAAGTAGAAACTAAAATGGTTTCAATTAAATTTATTATCATGCAATAGCAATCCCTCCCACATTATTTTTAAAAATTCAGAATCTAGTTTGTGTGAGTGTTGTATGATTAGTATTGGTAGGCGCCTGCTTAAATATTTCTCTGGGACCACTTAATAGAATTTGATTGGACTGTGAAAGGTTCTTCATCCAATCAGAATCAGGCTTGCAAATGCTATGGGCAGTTTGATGTGGAAGACATGAGCATCATGTGAAACTGTGTGAATGAATTGCATTTTGAAGACAGATGGAAAAAGGGACACTTTTATTGTGGGATTGTTTTTTGTGAGTTACAGAACAGAAAGGACCTACTCCCTAACCGATAACATGATATATTTTTTTCTAAAATCTTTTGTTTTATTACCATGTATTTTATGTTACCTTCAGCATCAAACCAAATCAGTGTACAAGGTCAGCACTCAGATAAATTATGACAAGAGACATAAAATGAGGCTGCATGTATCCCGATAACATGGCGCAATAAGATCCACATCCCGATACAGTAGTTTTATTTCATAATATGCTCGGCCTTTCTGCTAGTGAATCACAACCTTGAATTATTTGTTTTTTTTAATCTCAGAGAAGGTATATTAAGGGGAGAAACATAAGAATTTAGGGGCACTGTGTACATTCTGCCAACCGGGAAATACTGGAGAATCTAAAGTGGCTCTTGAACAGGTTCTGTTATTGTTCATGTTTACATGAATAAATCTTGTAATGTAATATGTATCGCGATACAAGAGATGCTGTCACTGTATCGTATTGTGATTCTCTTGTTGTGATACTATACTGTATTACTGTATCACTACATCTGATTAGGACTTTGTGTATTCTGCCGCTTGAAACTAATCTCCTGAAACCAGCTGTGAAAAGACATTTGTATTTCTGTTCATTCAATTTCATCAAAATTTCAGGTTTTTACCTAAATTAATAAAATGTCTTCGTTTCTGTAGTTTGGGGATAAATTGAGGGGATACTGTTCCACAGCACTCTTTGACAATTTGTGGTTGAAACCTCCAGGCGACCAAAACTGTTTGTGATCATGGAGATCCACAAAAACACACTGAGGTTGTGTATGTTTTGTTTATTTACATGTATCATGTGTGTACTGTGTACAGGGTTGTCTGTAACTCTCACTCTGTACAGAATTCTTTGTCATCTATCAAAATAAACATGCCAGTTTCACAACTATCAACATCATGTCTTGGTTTGAATGAAGCAGACGTCAACTGAACGAAGCAGACGATTGGATTGGATTATCACCATTATAATGGATAGAAATGGTGTTTATACAACAGTAAGTATTGACATACTAATGAAAACAATATATATAAAGGGGGAGGGGGGCATCCATGGACCCCAAACCCGCGTTATGTCAAGGGATGAATAACGTGAAAATAATGTCACATTCTTGGATCAACTCCATTTCAACAGCTGGCTAATGCACTAACGGAAATAAGTACTTGTGCACAGCTGATTGCTATTTCCGGCTCAGATACACACGGTAATCTTAATCCCTGCAAATAATACAATGCCCAGCAAAAACAACTTATAACTTAAAAGGTAAATAATCTTGTCTAGTGATGTTTAATTGCAAATTTGACGTCTCTACTGACAAAGTCGTCTTCTGTTGTTTGTTCACGCGAAGTGATACGAGGTTGTTTTCTTACCCCTGGAAAAAAGTTTGACGATAGCGTAACCCATGGATAAGACGACCCCCTTCTACAGACTGCTTTTTTTGGTCCTCAAAATTCGACTAATAGACGGTCATATACGGTACCATCTCAAGGTCAGATGAAATTTTCGCAATGTTTTGTAAGAAAGTTCCTCTGATACTCCGTTCCAAATAGGATCACCATCTTTTTGTAATATGTGCGTTTGTTGGTCGGAGCACTCATTGGCAACCCCTCTTGCAGTTAGGACTGACTGACTGAGTTTGGTTTTACGCCGCTTTTAGCAATATTCCAGCAACATCACGGCGGGGGACACCAGAAATGGGCTTCACACATTGTACCCATGTGGGGATTCGAACCCGGGTCTTCGGCGTGACGAGACAACGCTTTAACCACTAGACTACCCCACCGCCCCCTTGCAGTTAGGAGACTACAGCGTGATTTGTAGATTATCAATAGCACTACACCACATCACAGCATCTGTGTAATCATCACTTGGGACATTCCAGGACAAATATAAGTGCCCAGGAACCAATGCATGGATAGATGGTTCCAGCTGTGAAGATTGATGTTCATGGAGTCAGCCAATGGTTTGTCTGAGCCCAGCTAGACTATCATATGACTGGAATATTGCTAAGAGTGATGTCAATTAACAACGAAGTAGAATTGTGGGTGATGGACATCCAAACTGAATACAAGCTCGTGAAGTATTATAAATACTCCTGCTTAACTTCAGTTTACAAAGCTTATCATTCTCTGAAGTATAGGGAGGTCCTGCAGGGTCCAGTGCTTCAAAGTACTTATGTTCTCATGATGGGAACTGAACTCGAGTCTGTTTTGACAGGCAAGCACTTGAACCACTGTGCCACCCCACTGCCTTCAGTCAAGGCTGCTTTGCCCCATGGTTTAAAATTATGTTTTAGCAATATTCTGTTAATGTCAGGATAGCAAGAATAGGCTTCACCCACATACCACATGGGACTCAAACTCGTGTCCTTAGGGTGACAAGACAGGACCACCCAAGCAGGGATCAAAGACCATGTTAACTGATGCAATGAGTGATTGTTCATGGAAGGCTCCAACAGGTCCACAGTCTTCATCTTATACACTGTCAATAGAAGTGTCCACAAAGGAGGTCATGCCCAAAGGAGGCCGTGTCCTGCGCAGATCACTTCTACAAGTACAGAGTGTTTTGACTTGTGTGTTGGTCAACAATCTTCAGCAGCATCTTGTCACCTTGGGGATTGCTCTGAAACATATGGGATTGATACAGTTGATTTCTAACATTATCAATACCAGAAATACAAATACACAGATGTGAATGTTTCTAACTTCCTCTGAGTGAGTAATGTTGTTCAAGATAGTTAGCGGGGCGGTGGGGTAGCCTAATGGTTAAAGCGTTGGCTCGTCACGCCGAAGACCCGGGTTCGAATCCCCACATGGGCACAATGTGTGAAGCCCATTTCTGGTGTCCCCCGCCGTGATGTTGCTGGAATATTGCTAAAAGTGGCGTAAAACCAAACTCAGTCAGTCATTCAGTATGGTAAATACAGTATTTTTCATGGTTGAAATATCTACATATGATTTTCAAGGGGTGATCTTATACATCAGATTTGTTTTGTGATGTACTAACTTCTCTCAAGGATTCAAAGTTTGACATTCTATTTTCACACACTATTTTCAGTCAAGATAGTTAGCAATATTCCAGCTGTACAATGATGTCCTGTAAGTTATCAGTTCATAAACACTGACAGTAGTTCAAGATCACTAGTGCTGGTAATCGCTCACAATATGCAGATAGATAATTGGATCTCAGTAATTGATCAATAAGCGATTGTAATCATAAACCCCACCACAGAACTCATGTGGGCAATAGCGGGACACCATGAGAACACTGTGGACTTCATACTACCATAGTACCATGATCAAGACGATCGAGGATACTTCCTGTTGAGACATACACGCAAGTATGTTGTTTACATTACAGTTTTACGAGTCGGGGAAACTGCATCAGTTATTTATATCTTGATTTAAAAACATAACAATAAGAAACATACTTTCTATAGTTTAATTTGATTAGTCTTCCTCGCCTACCAGCTCGGGTGACACTGCTACAAAGAGCCGTACATCAGACTGTATTACCCTCGAGAGAAGCATACAATGCATTTATCTTATCGCCACGTTAAATGTACAAAACATCATTTTATTTTATGTTAAAGATCGCGACCAACTATATGACATGTAACCAAAATAGCGTCTGCCTCTCGACTGGATTTTTAAAATCAGTGAAACATATTCTGACAAGCTTAAAACTGCTATAAAAATGGTCAATTATGTTTAAGTTGAGTGTGCAAACAACAGTCCACTCAATGTATAAAATAGCTTAAAGCAGTGAAAGTCGGTAAAATACATCTGTACAAAGTGAACACAAAAAACAGCTGATCAAACAGTTTTCGAACTCCAGGCACTGCATGCATCATATTATGACGTCATACGATTGTTAGCACTTCAGCTTCTTGTCGGAGAGCTTGGCGGTTACCGTGGCAGCGGGTAATACTTTGTTCCAGTTGTCACCCTCCTGGGAGGGGTGACACGGAAACTTGTTAAAGTGTCATTGACCAAGTATTTTACATGAAGGTAAGATAATCCCTGATGGAAGCATGAAAACCGATAGACTGATTATTCGATCAATCGCTACAGCGCGCTAAAGGTCACCTTCACAGTAGCAGAGACTTCAAATGATTTCAAAATCCTTTGACCTTTGAGCACTCATTTAAGGTCAACTTGAATGATATCGTTAAGAGGTGTAGTTTTAAGTTTACTTCTGCAAATACTCAACTCACCTTGACAATGTTCTTGAGAGGTGTAGCTTTAAGCAGTGGTTTAAACATCTTCATCGTGGGCAGGTCGAGGAAGATGGAGTCAGTGTAGCTGATGTAGACGACGGCCTTCACCTTGTGCACCTCACAGTAGCTCATCACTGGGATATAGATACAGATAACACATTTACAATCACAGGGAGGCCAACACACGTGAGGAGAGGTGAAACTGGGTTTAATGTCGCACCTAAGAATATTTGGCTCATATGACGACGTGCATGCGTGTGTATGTATGTGCGGCTGCTTGTACTAGCCCAGACTTAAGCTGGTTTTACAGTGTTAGCTCATTAAGGTACCATGCCACAGTTAAGCATGAATACCCCACTCAGACACATTATACTGGCTTTGAGCCGACCAGTGCTGTTGTACCCATTAATGTCGAGCGTCAGACAGGGACCAACAAGTACCATATTTTAACGTCTTTTGGTATGATGCGGTCGGGGCTCCAACCACTACACCACGGAGATGGTCCCAACACACAGGAGCGTGCACACATGCACGAACACACTCACTCTGATACACTCCCACAAACATACAGCTATACATGCACGAACGCACTCACTCTGATACACTCCCACAAACATACAGCTATAACTTGTCTCTATGTCTGAATGTTGAGATGTGATCAGTAATGATGCATTTTTCAGGCGAATACATCCCTTCAACTCCAACATGAAGAAAACAGGCGGCAAGTGGATTTCTCAGTGGGTGAATAAATCCATTATAACCTAATTTGAAACGTAAAGCCGCACACTGTTTACGAATCACTGTAACTTGTAAATCACGTGCCAGAGCACAATCTACTCAGTCAAAATTATCCGGGTTAGAACTGATCTTCAGTAAGCCATGCTTGTCATAAGAGGCGACTAACGGGATCGGGTGGTCAGGCTCGCTGGCTTACATGTCATTGTATCCCAATTGCGTAGATGGATGCTCATGCTGTTGATCACTGGATTGTCTGGTCCAGCCTCGATTATTTACATATAGCTGAAATATTGCTGAGTCTGGCATTAAACTAAACTCACTCACTCGCTTATCGTCCTTTATTTGGTTCAATATAACCCACCTCCAGTGCAGGGATAACAATTTGACGTGATGTCACAAATCAAGGATGTCTTTTTTGATGTTGCTACAGCTTATAACATATACCTCATGGCAAGGATAGTGTATGTACTCTGTATTCCATGTGACTTGTTATTTCTTTCCTTCAGTATATGTTAAGGAATTCACCTTGAGCAGGAAGTCCGGTCAACATACTCGGCTGCTCCAGGATCGCACATGCAGGGGATGCTGGGTAATGTGCCGTCTTCAACCCTCGCAAAAATGGGGTTGTGAGTTCTGAGATTGGAATGTCACTTTTATATTCGCTGGTCATCAGAGAGCATAGCACAGCCACATAACAACTGGAGAGCTCAAAACTACTTAGAACCTGAAAAGAAAATCATAACTGTGAGTGAGTGAGAGAGAGAGAGATTCTCTGGCTACTGCAAAGAAGTAATATTAAGAACCCACATAGAAGTAAACACATGAACTATGAAACTGTAAAAATTAAAAACATCCTGCGCTTTATTCAGATTGGCACTTGATATTTTCCCACAAAATAACGAAAAGCTAAACACTGTTCCTAAAAGTATACTCTTTCATGCTTTCACATGCTTCTTAAATGCATCATCGTCCTACCTCTTCCACCCAGGAGAAACACTGTTCCTGTGCTACATCAGTCTTACACTGACACACGACCACCCCGGGACTGTCAAGGGATCTGTACAGGAAGCATGTTTTGTCCGTAGCCGACTGCTGGCCGAGTGTCACAATATCCCGATCTTTTAGACCGCTGAAGACTCCTCCAAGAGTCTCATATCTGTCTTGCATAATAAATGCTTGTGTGAATCCTGAAATCAAGTAAAAAACTGATATACAACAGCGATAATGGCAATGTCACATTTGTTTGTCTGTTGTTTAACACCACTCTAATCAATATTGCCCCTATATCACAAATGCCTGATACCCGTGAAGATCCGGGTTGGAATATTGATCTTTAGTAACCCATGCTTGTCGTAAGAGGTGACTAACAGGATCGGGTGGTCAGGCTCGCTGACTTGGTTAACACATGTCATCGTATCCCATTTGCGTAGATCGATACTCATGCTGTTGATCACTGGATTGTCTGGTCCAGACTCGATTATTTACATACCGCTGTCATATAGCTGGAATATTGCTGAGTGCAGCGTAAAACTAAACTCACTAACTCACTCACTCATAATGTACTTGTTGCAGCTCTAATGAAAACTGAAAATGAAATGAGAAACACCCAGCTAACTGTTACCACGTTCGTGTTGTCAAGTACACAGAAACACAAACAAATTTGAAAACAGATCAATGAAATTTGAGAGCTATGAAAGTGTTTTCAGATCAATTCAACGTACAGGAATGATTATATTTGAAACATCTGACTAACTGTTACTATAGTCACCAAGTTTTTATTGTGGGACTACAATAGCAATTCCTACCTGTGGCTGCTGGTCCCACAGCAACGATGAGGGTGTCACATGGCAATTTTTTAGTGGACGTCTTCTCCATTTCCTCTCTTGTCTTTGATGACCAGTGTACAAAGGAGGAACTGACCAAACAATATCAATATAAATGATTATAGACATGATAAACAATACTGTCTACCCTAATACAAAGGAGTGGAACAAGGAACCGAATGAAAGACATTGTTCTAAAGAGCAACAATACTCTCAACTAAGAAAATAATGCATATCAAATCTACTTATTATTGAGTGAGTGAGTTGAGTTTTATGCCGCATTCAGCAATATTCCAGCTATATGGCAGCGGTCTGTAAATAATCGAGTCTGGACCAGACAACCCAGTGATCAACAACATGAGCATTGATCTGCGCAAATGGGAACCGATGACAAGTGTCAACCAAGCCAGTGAGCCTGACCACCCAATCCCGTTAGTAGCCTCTTACGACAAGCATGGGTTAATGAAGGCCAATATTCTAACCCGGACCTTCACGGGTAAAATCTATTTATTAACCACAACTGAAATGGGTATTGATATATGCTGTTACCGTCTGTTACAGATTTGTTAGCAAAAGGAAAATGGCAGTAGTTTTCCACTGGCAGCACATTTATTTAATTTCGATGATTTAAATGCATCTGAACCATTTGAAAAGAACAGTTGCTCTCTTTACCAATCCAGTTTTTTTTCAAGCTGCACAACCCACTTGACTTGGTTATGAAGGATGGTAGTCATTGGTACAACTACAAGTAAAGGGTTCGGGATGGTAAGATTATTGCTGAGTTTGGCGTTAAACAACAAACAAACTAACGAACCCTTTGTATCCTGCTTCGAAGGCCTGAGTAGTCAGTGCACTCTTTCGTTGGAAGCTGATAATCTGCAATATTTCCTATCATCATGAAAACGAACATTTGCCGTTTATGTACCACGAAAATATGTGACACTGTGGTAAGAAATCACGTGCGTCATTGGAAACATGCTGGTTGAGAAATAATCGTGGACTGTCTAACACTTGTAAGGAAGCAGATTGTATAGTTTAAGCTAGCCAAATAAATCAGGAATAAAACCTTGCAACGGGTACGTCATCTTCTTCGTCATCATCGTCGTCAACCGCACGAGACGTGACTGGCAAGATTTCGCCAAAGAAAGTCGCCATTTTGAATATTTACATATCGTATTTTCTCACTTCAACGACAGCATTAAATACATTGACAGAATTATTTATTTTTATTGTATCTATTAAGAAATAAGAGCATATGGTACAACAATATATTCAACTCAAAAATAGCGAATAAAAATAGAATTCGAGTTTGATCACGTGACATATGTTTATAAACCTATGCCCAGGTGGGATTCATTTGCGAAGTTGAATCAGCTGTAATTTTAGCCATTGTCAAGAAATATGTTTAGTTCTGTGACGAGCTGGCTTGGTGTTGGTGAAAAACCATCTTCACCAACATCCTCTGACGACGATAAAGAGAATCAGACGTCTGAAAACACAAGTGTTTCATCCCCAACGGAAAGTGTCAGTAGCGTAAGTGACACGAAAACAGAGGACTCTACGTCTGCCTCCGAAACGGAAGATTTAACAGCAAAACAAACTCTTGAGGAATTGTCTGCAAATGCCATCAACACTGCTAAAGAGTTTGGGAGTGAGTTTGTATTATTTATTTCCATAGTGGTGCTTATAAACACCAGTTGTAAGTTTGTAACAAGTAGTGATAATAATTTTATATAAATACCAGTGTCATCAGATCTCGGTCAAGGAACCATAATAGTATTGATGTTTAGTATCTTGACATGTAAAAACTCAAATTGCTGGCGTAATGTAGATGTGCATATATCTTGAAACTGCAGCAGTGGTCATATGCAAAGGTCAGCGTCAGATTTTTTTAATGTCAAAGACAGTTGGGAATATGTAATAACGCATATCAATTGAGCTCTGTTCAGAGAACAAACTTGTTCTCTGTGGGCATTACTTGTAATGCTAAAGACAAGTCTCTGATTAGGTTTCAGTAATACCTCTGCTATGGTAATTGCAGAGGATATCTATTTACAAGTCATTGTACAAAATAGGTGTAAACAAAGATGCAAAGTAATTATAAATCATATGTTTTTTTATCCAGAGTAAAATATTAGCTACATTAATGTATAATCAAGAGCTTGGGTCCCAATCCACAAAGCTTTCGTAACGTCACGACCTATTACAACTCTATGCTTTGTCATAGGCTTATGAATGAACAAGCAGATGTCAGAGAAACACCAAGTTTGAAGAAAGATATGGCTATACACCATAAACAAAAGTTCTGTCTCTGTCACATTTTGAAATTACACATACAGGCAGGTGTGATACTTGTACACATGGCATGTTATGGTGTCTGTTGATTGCAAAATATTATACATGTTAAATGAACATGTACATGTATTTACAAAACCCAACACAAAGAGTGTATAGAGATGTTGGGTTTTGTAAATGAACCAGCCAATGAAAGCCTTCATTACACTTAAGTGCACGCCCACCCACTCTGACTAGGGCTGGGACGATACACTATGTCACGATACGATACGTATTGCAATATTTTACCTGCGATACGATACGTATCACGATACATACACCATGAAAGAATGGCACAGTATTAAGGTTTAGAATGACTTATTTCAAGGTATTTGTGTATAACAATATCACTATAGTAATAAACAAGAGAGTAACTCTGTCACACTTGCCTAATTTCTCTAAATAAGTACTTTAAAATGTTAAGATAAAACTATTTTGAAAGAAAGTTGTGTATCGTTTTGTATCGACACACAAGTCGACGATACGATAGCTGTATCAAACTTAAATGTATCGCGATGTATCAATGCATCGGTGAATCGTCCCAGCCCTAGCTCTGACTGGGTTCCGTTATCCTGGCTGCTTTGTTTCAAGGGAAGTAAACCCAAGTACAAAATATTGCACTTTTGATTTGCGATTGTACGCTTATAATTTTGTTTGTTTTCATAATCAGGAATGTATATTATGTGTCATGAATAATTGATAATTGTGTTTTAATTATATTTGTTTTGGTTAGAGCGTCTGCCTGGAGAGCGGAAGGTCACGGGTTCGATCCCCGACCGCGTCATACCAAAAGACGTTAAAATATGGTACTTGTTGGTCCCTGCCTGGCGTTCGGCATTAATGGGTACAACAAGGAATGGTCGGCTCGGAGTCAGTATAATGTGTCTGAGTAGGGTATTCATGCTTCACTTCGACATGGTATCTCAGTGGGCTAGCACTATAAAACCAGCTTCAGTCTGGGCTAGTACAAGCAGCCGCACATACACATACACACGCATGCACGTCGTCATATGAGCGAAATATTCTCAGGCACGACGTAAAACCCAATTTCACCTCACCTTATATTTGTTTTTATTGGTTGCATGTGACCTTTAATAAAACAAATCATAGCAGTAGAGCCGACAGGGGTTCAATACTGAATCTGGGGTGCAATCCAGAATTTGATGACGTCATCCATATTGTACCCCTGTATTGCTATCTGAGTTTACAAGGGTATATCATAATGCATATCATATAATCACACTATGTAAATGCTGTGGATAGACTGGAGTATTAAGGTCCCAAAACCAGAAGGAACATTAGATAATTATGCTTAGAGATGTCCATGAAACAAAAACACATGCATACTTACTCTGTGCAGTCGCAGTGCAGGGATTTTACAAGTGCCATGTTTCTTGCCAAGAAATGTGTTCAGCATGATCAACATTATTGAAACAAAGGCCTTGGGGTATATTGGGTTCCCTTTTTCAGATAACAGAACCTTTAAAAAACATGAGGGGTAAATGGGAACACCCCATTTTAAAAAACTCACTAGATACTCCTGTAAGTTTGTTTTGACAAGACCATGGGCTCAGCAACAAACTTTGTTGAAAGTTTGCTTGACATTGTATTTTTACGTCTGTTTCTATGCTGACTTTAACAGCTGGTGGCAAAGTGATAAGGTCATGTTTCAACTTTTCTTCTGTGAAATGAATCACCATCAAATACTGAAGCTACCATCATCACTTCGAACAATGTGAAGTTTCTCTCTTAAAGACAATTTATCAATTTCTCTTCATTTGTCATTCATGAAAGAAGCCACTCCATTCCCTTGGCAATTATCAAAAGATTCTGCTCCATCGCTTCCATAGCGGCAATGTGTATTGTAGTAGATCATTATATATGGAACATCATGAATGATACATGTCGTCGGTTATCCTAACTAGCAAAACTGATGAATATGAATGAACATGAACAAAAGCTCATTTCCAATAAAACTAGGTACAAGAGGAGTTTTAGATCATTATTTCATGCCAGTTTCAGTTTTCACGTTCATTCACCTCTTGTATTGTAAGAGATCTGTGCCAGGTTGCATGTGTTTGCATATATGTAAGGGAGCTGCTGAAGCCAGCCACATCTTCATGTAAACCACAGAAGAAGGGTACCAAAATACATGTACTCTTGTAACATATGTTATATTTGGGATTACACTTTCTTAGTAAAGTACAGATTCTAGTACTTTTGTTGTGTTGAGTCTCATCCAGGATTCGAACCCACACCCTCAGAGTGATCCCGGATGGGACTCAACCCAACAAAAGTACTAGAATCTGTACTTTACTAAGAAAGTGTAATTCCAAATATAACATATGTTACATTTGACCACTTTCTAAATGGCATTGTGTATTTCATACATGTACTCTTGACTCAATGTATGAAATCATCTTTCAGATATGAGCTTTTCCCCAAAATATTAACCTGTCATTGCTGAATGAGCAAAGAATACCATGCTTCCATATTTATGCAACTGTTTATTAGGCTGCAGACTCATGCTGGTCATGCTGTTGAGTGTTGACACTGGATTGTCTGGCCCAGACTCGATTATCAGATTATTTACAGACTGCCGCCATATTGCAGGAATATTGCTGAGTGTAAAACTAAACTCTCTCACAACTCACTAAGGGTTGATGCTTTTTTTTTTATGGGAGCCATGGTTTACCCCGTGGTTTAAGTTTAACTGAATCCACGGTCCTGCGAAGAGCATTATTGCGAGGGATGACTGTATCAGGGAATTCTATATACCTATTGCTCAAAGACCATTTGAATTGAATACAACCGAACCTCCACAAGTATGATTGGAAGTATCTTTCACTTATGACTTGAGTGTGACAACATGAAGGGGTTGTAATAACTGTCATTTGTCAGATCTTACATCATTTACAGCAGTAGACTGCCATTATATACCCCCCAGGGCAGTGACTTATCTATGTTTTTAAACTTTGGCTGGCAAACTGGGAATACTATCCTGATATTGTCCAGAAAAGGATCTTTTGTATGTGAGAAAGTAGTAAATTTTCAATCCAAATTGTGGATATATTTTGTCATTTGCTGCAGACTTATGGCTGAATATTGGCTGCTGAACAGGTCTAGATAAATCCTTGCAGAGGTTTCCTTCTAAGTTAGGCTGTCTCCCAGACCCTCAAGAATATATTTAATTAAAGTCCATCTCAAGTCTCGAGCAACAGGGCCAGTCTAGATGACCTTAGCTCTAAATTCAGAGTTGTTTGGGCTCCATTTTTATGTATATATATTTTCGAGAAATATTTTATTTAAACAAGAGACTAGATGTCATTCTCGGGTTGCCAGCACAAAGGAAAGAACCTTGTATGACACTGAGAGTGACCTTTCATCATTGACCACAATAGACTGCGACCAGCCAGCCAGGTTGGAGGTTAACCAGCTCTGGGCGATTCCATCAATTTCCATTTCCTGTTTGATAGTCAGGATAAGATTACCAGAATCAATGATGCCGAGGGCTGCATTTAGCATGCTTAGTTCCAGCAACCCAAATGAAGTTTACTAGAGTCGAACACACTCATCACATCTTTTACAGGGGTGGAAATAACTTTAAAATTGCTAGTGTACTCCGGTGCAGTGGCACATGTAAAATCACTTGACCTGATAATTTTTCCACTTTACCGTCCGTTTTCTTGTTGATTTTTTAAATAAACAACATAATTAACATTGGAAAGTCAACTTGACACTGCAGTCAACATGAACTGCCGCAGCAAAAATGTTACATTTGTTTTATTTGTTTTATTTGTTTTGTGTAGGGCAAATCCATTAAGCAGACGCAGGTGACAGCATGTAGTTAATCTGTGCACTGGACCATAACATGTGTTGTTTTAAGCTGTAGTTCATATGGGAGGACACCTACAGTGTGATATACAAATTTGCTTGCCCGACAGAAAAAACCACTGGACTCGGACGTCGGACAATGGGTTATTACTTATTTCCACCCCTGCTTTTAGTATCCTCAGCATATCAGTTTTGGTACTATGAAGAAAGTTTGGCTGTCGTATAGCTTGTTACGATGGTTCTAGGGGATGTGTGCTTTTAGACGTATGTGAAGATATTTGTCAGGTCCTGTCGAAAAAACTTTAATATTGAGCAATAGTTGTGAAGATTTTTCTGATTCAAGTTGTGTTATGTTCAGTAACACTACCTAGAACATATTGAAAATACTTGGAGGCAAGCCTATAATTGATGGTTCTTTTAAGTTAGTTTTCTACTCAACGTGCTCAATGGGATGGAGGGTGTAGGGTAGCCTAGTGGTGTAAG